TGAGAACCCAATTCTTACCTGCCTCCCAGTCCACCTTCTTCACCCTTTGTACCCTTTGTTGGTGTCCCTTGAGGCTGGTATAAGGCCTGACATTGGGTCAAGTTCGCAGCCTTTTTCTTTTTCTCCTAGCCATTCTTCCAGCTCGGCTTTGTCACACCTCAGGACGGCATGTGGCGATGTTGGAGTCCCAACACCAAGAGACGGAGGGCTGGCAGATGCGCAAAGCCTTGCAGCAGGGGGTCTTCGCACATGAGGAGTTTCACACCTGGTTCTTCAAAGTGGCCGTCCTTCCAGTTTGAGGTCACAAAAGGGCCTGTAAAAGGCCACGTAAGACACTCCAAGGATGAGATCGCATGCCGCGGATCGTGGACGACCTCGTCGGATGAGGAGCTGGAAGATACGGAGGAAAGGCTGGAGGACTTGGAGCAGGAGCTGAAAGAGCTGGAGGCGCTGACGTTCGGGTCTCGTGGGACGCTCGCGAGACGACCGGCGAAGCTGTGTGGGAGGCAAGACGCTGGTGACCTGGTGGGATGCTAAAACTGGAGGTTCAGGTTCCAGCGGGTCTCGATCCAGTGTTCAATGACTAGTCTGACATAGCATTCCTGGATCCATTGGGGTTTGATATGGTTGCATTTTACGAGAGTAGAACAGAGTGTGACTCAGCGGGGTTGTGAAATGGCCCACATGACACGCGGGGGGTTGCGGATGCTGCTCTTCGAAGGCAGAGGAGGCTGCTTTGGAGGAGGCCACTGCAGAGGAGTGTCCCTTCAGCGTGGGGGATTGCAGCTTGGGCATTCAGAGAGCTCCGGGCGGGGTAAGGGTGTTGAAAGCGGAAGCTCTTCTAACCAGTGCCTTGGCCTGGGCATCCTGCCCGGCTTGACCACCTTATACCATCCATTGCTTGGGAATATGTATGAACATGGTCGCTATATATACACTCCCTGGAATGATCATGAGAAGTGGGAGTTCACCACCTGTTTGGTATTTCAACCGCTATCATTGGTCATTCTTTCAGGGCCATGCCATCCAAGGAGTCCAAGGAGTGAAATCCAATGGGGTCCTTAGGGCCTTAGCCTCGGTCGAACTTGGAAGGCCCTGTGCCCACGAGACCTTCTCCAAAACCATGACCTTCTGAGGTCCTTTTTCAGGCGAATCCAATACCCTCCTTTTTGCAGACCAAGCATGGAAGCTGAGCACACACCCCTTGTATATGTAGAGCAAAAATGCCAATCCCAATCCCAGTGAGGTGGCACGCGCGTTCTTTTGCGAGGACAAGCCACTTCGTTCGTGGACACAATCCCTTAGAATCCCTTGGTTTCAATGAAATGTGTCTTTCAGTGGTCGAGGTTCAAAACGGTTCTACGAGGCCCGTGCAAAAACACACACACATAAGCCATTTTAAGGAGGACCCAAAAGACAGCCCGAATAAACCCCATGTCTGAACTCTTTTGGACGACGACGCCAATACATAGCAACAGCCGCAAGTGCAACCAACAACAGCGCTATACAATGCCAAGCACTTCCAATGTTCTTCGGATAGTAAACCAGGGACCCACAAGAAAAGATAGTGAGTTTCAGAACACGTTCAGCTTATTTGGATGTTTCATTGAAATTCCATATGCATTTCCTGGTCATCATTTCCCAGTGTGGCTTTGCCTTTATGTTGTTTTTGTGAATGAATCATTGAGATTTCAGAGTTAGGCTGTAAGGCACATCATAAGCTCTATACTCTTCCACACATATACTAAGCTTATATAATATATATATTTATATACTGGCCAGTAATATAGACTTACAGCTCGTTCGGTCGTTCGCTTCAGAGCAGAGCTCGCTCCACCGATGCGCTCGGCACACGTGGCCTTCGCGACCGTGACCGACCTAGCCGAGGCGTGGTCTTGCGCGCGGCCTTCGCGGAGTGGCCTGCGGGGCATCGGGGCACTGTGGCCGCGGTGGACGGTGACGGCGACATGAAGGCCGTTTCGAAGGAAGACCGCAGAGGGGGAGAGTGCAGGGCGGTTTCGAAGGTTATTTTTATGTTTTTCGATTTTTTCGGGTGGGGGGAGGGGTGGAGGTTTTTCAACTGGTGGAGATTCAAGGGGTGGTTGAAGGGGTTGCAGTATGTTGCAGTAGATGATTCATCAAGTTTCCTGTACATTATATACTCTATGTAGTGTTTTGAGATCGGTGTGTATGTTCTTAGCCGTCGTCTCTGGTGTTACAGTACGTTAGGTTGGATAGTTAGTGAAGCAAATTCCTCTGAAGATGTTTGTCCTGTCCTTGACCAGAACATGGAGAAGTGCAGGAGGATAGAAGGTAAAGACACCCCAGGGATCCAGTCGTACCTCCTCCAAAGGTACTTGGACCCTCCAAACCTACCCCAAACACCTTCTCAGAGGGTACTTGGATCCTTAGGGACAGGAGATAGTTCGTGAGTCCAGGAAGCGGGAGAAGTTTCTGGCCGTTTGGAAGATTGTTGTTTTTTAATGCTGACTACGCTTGGAAATGGTTGTGGATGCTCGCCAACCAAGCAGATTGCTCTTGGCAGGTGCTCTTCGATGGAGAGACTGAGGCCAGACTGACGCGGTTGCAGTGAAATTTCACCACACCACCTCAATGTTGCCTTTCCATATCCTTGCATGTCGTGAACGTTACTATAGGCGGTGGCGTCATATTTCTTTCGTGTCAGTCACTGGTCTATGCAGCTCATGTTCGCTGAACAGGCTCAGTTGATCCTTAGCATCGACTTCGACCTCTTCACTTCCGTCGGCTCAGAGTCCGCGGAGCGCGTCGAGCCGGAGCCGCCGGCGCTGGAGAAGGTCCTCACAGTGGAGGGCGCGCAGGAGCTGGTGCAGGTTCACCATTTCAAGAGCCGACCGAGATGTGCGGCGACGTGTCCAGCCCTTGAAACATTACTTACAAGTTGTGCTCAGTCCAAGAATTCCGACATCATTGCGATGTTTGACATCAGACATCCATTCTTTGGTCCAACACACCTAACCTGTCTGGTCGAAGAATCGATGATGGTGTTACACACCCTTCAATTCAGATGTGTTGGTGGTACAAACCGCACATGCTTGGATCACTATTGGGGGGTTGCCCTCAGTTGAGACTAATATAGACCCCATGCATAGACCCCATGGTCGAAAGACCTCTAACAACGGTCCAGGTGACCCTTGTTTAATTGTGTTTCCTTCTTATCATCTCACTTTCACCAAATGATTTTGAATGCGAAAACGTGGGGCGTCTCGCACATCGCCAACCCCTTTCCGCACATCACGCAGGACTTGTTGGAGGCCTTGGCTTCTTCCTATGAAGACTCAGGCTTCCAACAGCAGGTGGCCAAGCTCTGCCGAGACACACGCTGGCGGAAGGAAGACTTCATGCGGCACCTTCCCAAGGCCTTCGGTGGTCGCCGAGCTCGCGGGTCTCGTCCGGGACGGGTCCCATGGACGGTGGAGCCCTGTCTGGAAGCCATCCTAGGTAGTGTGGGGTAGTCCAGCCAGGACACCCCTGTCGGGTCGGAGGGTCCTGGTATGAAGATGTTCGTTATCATGTTCATGATCCATATTATGCCATGATTTGGGAGGAAGATATGAACCTCATGATGAGCTTGCATAGACCCTCCACTCCTAGTGAACTTGATTTTCACGCACGCACTGGGATGCGTTCTTTCCACCTCAGCGCAGGTGGCCCTCGAGAGGCAGAAGTCCATCCTTCCCTCCTTTGGCTTCGAAGCCTCCGTTCAGGGCGCCCAAGAGGCAGAGAAGGCCATCGCTCAGGCGTACGGGCGGGCGGTCGCCCAGCCCGAGCGGGAGCGGGAGCAGTCTGAGCCCGGTTTGATCGGCTTGGTCTACATGGGCTCGACCCAAACGAGACTTCAGGAGGTTGGCCAAGAAGATGTTTGTTTCTTTTTTGGATCCATGCGTATCAATGGGCGATGTTTGGGCTGCACCGTGGTCCCTTTGAAGGGATGTATCAGGTACCCTTCACGGTTGAAGAGTTGAACCGCCATCGACCCGGCGTCACGGACAGGCCAAGGAGCGCGCAAAAGAGGCCAAAAGGGCAGAGCTGCAACAGCGAGCGGACGCTGTGACCAGGTGCGGCTCGCGGAGCGGATCACACCGGAGGTTTTCCAGACGGTCCCACCCCAAATGCTGTATAGATGAATTTCATGTGGTACTGCCGCACTGCGCGAAACCAAGGGGGGACATGAGTGGGATTGAGTTTGCAAGGTAGGCTCCTTGTTTGCTTTGCGCGTTTAACTTTTGGCGCCCCATGCCTTTGCAGGTCATTGTTTGGCGAGATGTATGAGATCATCTTCGTCCAGCCTGCGCGATAAATAGATTCCAAAAGCATCCAAAAAGCTGTCAAGCAGAGAGGCGATCACCACTTGGTCCCTGGTCTAGCTGGTACGACCACTAGGGAATGAGCGAGACTGAACCTGGCTCAAACCTCCAATAGGGCGAAACTTTGTGAAACTTCTGCGATATCTTGCTACTTGCATGAGGGGGCTTGCACTCCTTGACATAATGATGGAAGCATATGGAAGCGGAAAACCACCTCTACATGACATGGGTCTTCGATGGTCTTCTCGTTTTGCATTCCCTACTCAGTGCCAGTCAGCTGTCCAGTCCCAATGGGGACACGCTGACACCCAACGCGGTTCCTCAGAGAAAAGGCGCCAGAGAAAAGGCGCGCAGCACAGGCGTCGCAGAACGCTGGAAGATGATAATGGTGTTTCATGACCTTCTTGTGAGTTTTTTTCTTCTTGCAGTTCTTAATGGAGTGTTTCACGCAGTTCTTAAGAAACTGGATAATGGTAGTTCTTCTTGCATATCCCATATCACACTGTAGGTCATTTGAGCTTGGCGTTCTAGAGTTCCAAAGTCGCCACCCGGCTGCCTGCAAAAGCCTCGGTGACTTTCCGGCATTCATTCCTTGCAGGTTAAGCTTCGACGCAGCGGAACTTGTTTCTTCGATATCAAACATGCCGTGCCGAGGCTCATTTCCCCACGGCCAGCGAAGCTTTCCAAGTTGCCTGGAATCTCAGAAGTTCTCATTTCGTCAGAAAAGCAATGCGTGCATGAGTTGTAGATGCCACTCAAAGAACTCTATACAAAGAGCAATGAGAAACGCAGACCCCAGAGAAGCACAAGAAAGTCACACATTTATGTGCCATTTAACTAGCAATTTATAGATTTGCATGTTTCCCATTGTTATCCATGGCATGCCGATTGGTTGGTCCCTCTATTTGACGCTCCGTGACGGGCCGCGTTCAGCGGGTCACCAGTCGAGGTCGCCAAAGCTGCGCAGGCTGGAAGCATCAAGGACTATGAAGTCTTCGTGGAGTGCGCCGAACTCTGAAGGGTTTTGCAGGGGAGCACAGGGAACTCAAATGCCAGATGATTCCGTGCATGCAACGCGTTATAATAACGCGTCTATATATATAACTATATATATAACTATATATATATATAACTATATATATATATTATATATTTATATTTATTTTGCTGTATGCGCTGTTTTAAGGCTTTGTTGTATCTTCAGAATGTCCACCTTTCCAGATCTCTGGAGAAGAGGACCAAGAAATTTGGCTCCGCCCAGTTGGATAGTGCTGTTTCAGGTGTGTCGGCAGCCTCACGGAAGAGACAACAGAACCAACGTCATGGGGTGTGCACTCATGCGTGCCCTTTCAGCCAAGGAACTCTTTGTGTTTTATCCTCAAAGTTTTTGCTCTTTCACTCTCATCCATCAAAACACACAAGTCACAGCGCTCCTGGGCGAAGGAATCCCTGGCATCCTTGGCGGGGTCCAAAAGGGTCCAGTCCGGTCCGTCGGACGGTTCGTCATGTTCGTGGGTTCGGGATGCGAAACGACTCACGGTGAAACATGTGAAAATGGTATCCGAACTTCCCTGTAACAGTTGGTAAACAAGAACATCACTATTTCAGAGGAAAGCCTGCAACTGAACCATCATCCACTGTTGCCGGTCATGAGGTAGGACCCCCAAAATATGTTTCTTGGTCCGTGTGTTTCCTGACGAACTTGGGATTTGTTGCTTTCCTGCGAACCCATTTCTGCGCATGCTTCCCCTGGATTGGGCTCAAGTGGTCCCAGGCATAGAATGAATGCCTCTTGCACCCGTTAACTCTCCTGAACTTATATAACTATATAAGTTGTTGGTTTATTAACAATTAGAGGGGATACACTGCGTACAATCAATAGGTATCTACTTGTTTGTTTGTTTGTTTGTCGCTCTGTGTTGTGTACCACGCTGATCCCCCAATTCTTCCCAAAGGGACCTCATTGGTCCCAGGTACGCTGATGGGCCCGATCGGTCCCAGCCAAATGCCCAGCGAAAGCTGTCATCCTTGCGGCAGGCGAGGTGTTCACATCCAATGAAGAGGGTTTTTTTCAGGTGTGGGTCAACGACGCACAACCGTACCGTAGGATTCTCAGACAATCCATGCATGGACTATTTGCCTACGCTGGGGTGGCTTTAAGATGTGTAGGGATATATCTAATACACCACACATGGATGGTCTAGAGTTGGCTAACGTTCCCTGCTATTCCATCTTGTTCATTAGCCCTCCTGGGTCCCAGCTTTTTGTGACCCACGACATGCCCAACGGTATAGGCGCACCTTTGATTCCAATGAAGTTGACGTCAAACCCCCTTAAGGACTTTTAAGGATGGAAGCAGGAGAGCAAGAAATCACCTCCAGCGGCTTGCTGGCCACGACATGTAGCCCTTTGGTTAAGTTCGACCACCTGACCACGGTACAGCATTCTGCTTGGTTTTGGGGATTGTTGCCGTTGCCAACGCCACAGTTGTTAATCATGATCATCGATCTTGGTGGAATCTCGATTATGATAGAATAATAAGTGCAACATCGCAGATGGCCAAAATGCAACGAAGTTAGGTGCCACACTTGCTTGGTCCACAGGCTTTCCTTTAAGATGCCGAGTTGTTCAGGAGAAGGTGGAGAAGTCCAAGCGCGGCTATCAGCCGCAAAGCGGCTATCAGCCCTCTTTCCGCCGCTTTGCCGTCAAATGTAATCGTTGTTTATATAATTATGGCATGTATCTCAAGTTTGGCGAGCATGGGAATCGCCCATGATTGTTTAGTGCCATCACTTTTGTTGGATTTTATTTTGGCCTGTGTAGGGGCTCAATGTACCTCTCACATGGATGCTCACTCACACCTGAAGGAGGGATGAACGGCGTGCTTTTTAATTGTCCTTATCCTAACCTGAAGGAACCATGAATCGGCCACTAGACAACCAGCACAAGCACCACTACCACGACAAGAAGAACAGTTGTCACAGCGGTACTGTTTTAATTCAAGGCTAAGTTCTTCTCAGTTCTAAGGAGAGGTTTTCAAACTTTCATCTGGATCGCTGGAATTCAGGAAAGTTTTTGGAGCTTCCCTGTAATACGATGCGTTTTCACTCACGAAACGCAGGGCGGTCCCTTCCATCAGCTCTTCAGAGCTCCCTCCCAGACGCCTGAGGCCCGCCCTGTGGATGGCAGAGGATCTGGCGGATTTCGCACCAGCAAGACGTCCTGTGGGATCGCTCGGTGCGATGGCCCAAGAATGCCGGGCCGGTGGGCACGGTGGAAAGGTATGGAGAGGAGAGGGAGGAGAAAGGCAGGGAGCTGGAAGAATGTATGATGTGATCAGTTATACTGTGATCCTTGCACCCGTGGTAGTAGTAGTAATTAGAATTAGTTAGTAACTTAGTAGAGCTTAAAGCGTCCAGTGATCAAGTTCAACGGCATTATGGCATATATCATATTAAGCTCCGGCTAGCTTGTGGATTTCTGCAGCATTCTTGATTTATTCAATCCTTACCCTGTCGCCACGAGGCAAAGCTGTGCCTCCTCCCCTTGTCACGGAGCCCCTCTGCCGTGAGCGCGGCGACCCGCAATCACTTCGCAGAGCTCCCAGCGGCCATACTGGCGAGGGTGGTGTCTCAAACAGAAAAGGGAAGTCGGTGGACCACGAGGGGCTTCTTGGGGTCCAAGGTGATGAAGATGCATGAATCGCATGTCATTCTGGAAAACACACCTTTTTTTGATTTCCCCGAAGCTCCTCTTGCTTCATCAACCTATTGTACCTTGATGTACCTTGTATAAGTAGACTCTAGACAGTTTTAAGTTTCCCATGGTTTTCCCGAATCATAGATCTACAAAGGAAAACCAAGAGGCTCCTCCAAGTCTTTGATCTAGTTTGGGTCCTCCGATCAACGTGTCATCCTTTGCACATTTTGGATCAGGTGATTCACCCCTTGCTGGGGCCCATTTCATCCTGGACACATTCATTTCGCGGGGCAAACCCTACCATACAGCCAGGTCAGACATCAATTGCGGTGTAGAATCCTAGAACTCCTAGGACTTTTCTCTCTATCTCTTGATGGGAGACATGTTCTCAGATCTAACATATAGAAAGATCAGATCACAACAGCTACTCAGGTCCTCATTTGCGACCTCTCCGCGCTGATGACCTTGGCCTCGGCCTTCCCTGCCATCGGCCGCACCTCCCTGGAGCTCGCAGAGGCCATGCCCGTGGCGGCGCCGCCTGCGGGCGCGGCCCACGCGCGGTGGCTGTCCTTTGCACGGGCATCATTGCGCTGGGCGGTTCCTTGGATATAAGCATTACTTAGATATAGTTATATATATATAGATGTTCACTATATACATAGTGATTCAATCCAATAGTTTGTGTCTCTATTCGATTTAAATTTGTATGATGTTCTAGGTAGCCTCCTTTTTTCAATATCCATTGGATGCCTTTTTGGCAGCAACTCACAGAATCTTTTTTTAGTTGCATACTTCTGTATGTTGCAGGTTGTACGTAGATTGTAGTCCTCGGCGAATTTTATTGGTGTTTTCTAAACCCTTTCAGCTCTTCCCGGCTCTTTCCAGGAGCTGCTAGGTGGGCTGCGCTCTGCAGTGGAGGCATCCAGAGGAAGCGTTGGGCGAAGGAAGTCCTCATCAAGTGGCATGGCAGCTGGAGAGAGACACAGAAGGTTGGTAACTTTTCACAAGGACCACCTGTGAGAACCCTTCAGCCTCAGCTGTGTCCGTTTCTTCGCTTCTCCCTGCAGTCTGCAGTGCCCTGAAGTATCGCATAGACCCAGAGACACCAGTGCTCTTGTGAGAGGAAAAACGAGGTCTTCTTGGAAGTGCTCCGACTCTTGTCGTAGCTGTTCTACTATATGCCGTCCGTATAACTTATATAATCTATTGTTCTTCGGACTATACGAGAGAGAGAGAGGGTACAGTAGGATGGGAAATGTGTACGTTGGGGATTGCTGGAGGAGAGCCACCAGAGTCACCAGAGATTAACATTTGGAAGAAGTTTGGTGCCACGAATCTCGACGTGCTTGCTTCAACGTTGATGGGTGCCACATGTTGTGGCCCAACCAAGTATGCCCAAGCCATTTCCAAAGCAGAACGTGTGCTTGGATTTTCCCTCCAGTCCTCCAATCCAGCAAGGCCGTCATGTCCATGAATGACAGACCACCTACTACATAGTTCTACGATCCTGAGGATTGGCCCTCCAAGTCTTCCATCCACTGGATTCTAGGTTTCCGCTTACATTCTTCACTCACTCCAGCACCGCGCCGCCAAGATGACAGCAGTCACAACAGCCTGACCATGGCGGGCATGGCGGGCATGGCAGGTGCTCCTTGCACCTCCTTTGCTCCTCCGGTGTGCACCTTTGAAGCTTCCTGTGCATCAATGTGCCCAAGCTCTCCACACCTTTTTGCTACAGGGCATCAGGATGGAATCCGCTTGTGGGGCCACCCTGGCACTACGAGACTTGGAGCGCAGGCATAGCGCAGGGTGGAGCATATGTGATGCTGCGTTGACCGGAATAGGCATGATCTCCGCCTTCCATGCATGGTTCAAAGGGAAAGCATGATTGAGGAATTGACACCAACCACCTGGATGTGTCTTTGCAGCTTTTGATTTGTCATAAGTTTCATGAGTCATGAGCTGAGCCCTCTGAAATTCGGATGGCCTAGCTGAGTTTAACTGCTCGAAGTCATGAATTCTTTGGGCAATATATCTCGCCCGGAACGTCACTTGTCTCATGGTCTCATGAACCAACCTCTCCGCGAGCTGACATATCCACCCACAGATCCGCTGACTCATGTGGCAAGCAGATGCGCTTGACTCGGAATCGCCGGCACTGTCGGGCACTCCATTGCGCGCGCCCAGGAAGATGGGCTTGCTGAAGACCAAAAGCCCGGTGATCTCATTGGACTTGGGCAAGTCCGGAGAGATGCTGGTGCGCCGCGCCGCCTTCGCGTGCAGATTCGTCGTGCATGAGTTCGCTCGTGGGATGGTCAACCAATGAGCCTTTTGGCATCTTTTGGCACTTTCCTTATCTAGGTGATGGTTTCGGATATGTTTATTTTCAACCCTTACTTGGGGATGATTGGACCCTCTGACTAATATTGTTCAAGTGGGTTGAAAACACCAACCAGTTATCATTGAATTTAAGCTTGTCCACTTCTCCCCCCGTCCATCACAAGTTTTGGGACGACTCGAGTCTCAGAGTCCAAGTCCCACCATCGACGGTCGCTATGCGTTTGAACCCTTGCACAACCAAAGGCATCCGCTCTGCCGAAGATGTGTGTTGACCTTTCCATATTGAAAGGCTAGGTTTCTCAAGGCAAAGTGGTGGGGCTAGTGCCAGGTGTAGTGAACTGTGTTGGTGAAAAGGTTCTTTTTGAGACATATCCACTTCACCCATGTCCATCATGTGCAGGCAGCCATCACCATGAATCAAGCACAATCTGTGGCCATGCTTTGGGATTTGACCTCTGTGAATGGAGCGTCTTCGCCTTTGTGGCAAGTCCCTGGCAGCAAGAAGTTGTCCTGACAACTGTTGAATGAAGCAGGGGATGTGGCAAAGGAGGTGGGTGGTGAGACTTTAGTCACTTTAGTCTCAAAACATCTCTCTCAACTAGATGTGGCCTTCTTGTTGTAGAAGGTGAACTCCGAAAAGTCAGTGTTGCCCCCACGGGCAGCTAAGCAAGGACGTGCTCAAGGCACCAGCTGTCCCCACCGCCGTGCATCTTCGTGAGGGTGGGTCATGGTATGGTCACTGGACATGGGTTTGGGTATGGTCAGTCCTCCATCCCTTTGTGACATGTACTTTGCCGGAAAGGTGTTGGGTTGGCGAGATCATGATGATCATGAGCCTCAGATCTGAGTATCTCTCTATCTCTCTCTCTCTCTCTCGCTCCTTTTTAGGGGTGGCATTGCATGAAAGAAGGCTGAGTAATGCAGAGTAGCCCACGGGATTTAGAACTTCGAACGTGCAGGCACAACAGCCGACGTCATTCCTGGCAAGTGTTGAAGTTAGACTGCCAACTGCCAACCATGGTTGCCCCAGCATTGGACGTCCATCTATTCATTTGTGTATGACGACCCGCATGAACGGGAGAAGGAAAGCAGAGAGAGAGAGAGAGAGAGCGACTTATGAAGAGGTTACTGCGCGCGACTGCTCTGGTCCAACATGGTCCAACTACATCGGCCTGAAGTGTATAACTACGCGGGTGACACTTCCCATGAAGTCAACTTCACCAATGCAATGTGCGCTCATATGTCATGGTATGTGTATTGCTACTATATATTTATATTATATGTATATCTAGAGTATATATCGACCCCCCAGGAAATACATGTCTAGTGCATCAAACGGCGCACTGGGCCCGGCGAGGTTTCGGCTGCCCCACTGGACCCGCACTTCTTGTCCGATGGGCTTCTGGTAGGCAAAGCTGCGGAAGCTGCGAGAGCGACACTGCAAGTCTTGGACTACAACTGTGGACGAGTTCTGCAGGAGTTGGAATTCCCTGGAGTTCCCAGTGCCTCCTGCAACCTGGAGAGTTAGTAGACATTTGACAACCTTAGAATTCCTTAGGATATTTTTTCATTATATAACTTTAGTTTGACTGGGTGGAACTCCAACACTGGAACTGTTTGGGCGTAGGTCCGGAGTTTGGAATCGTTTTACGCGGAACAAAAGGGAGAACCGATCCAGTGGAAAGTCTTATCCTGAAGTTAATGACCAGTTTAATGACCCCTACTCTTCGATTTCGACCTTCACAGCAAGGCTTTGCCAGTTGAAATATATACTCCATGATTGACATCAGGGATCAAACCATTAGATGCAACTGATTAGTCAAGGTAGACCTAGCTTTGAGGCAAGTGCATGCCTATGCCTACCGCTTCCCCTTCCCGAAGAACGACTATGCTTCCCAGTGTCTTTGTGGCAGCTGCTGGGAACATCTACAAGGTAGTGGACGACGCTGTGGACCCTGTGCCATGGCTGATACGTAGAATTATCTCAAGACTCATCATGTTTGGCACAGATTTCTCCACAAAGGCTCCTTCTTTCCATGGGAAGAGCTCATTTTGACGAGTCGCTTTTGGGGATTGTGCTGTCCTTCAATGTGTTTTCCTATGAAAGGCTGGGACAATCCCACCTTCTTTGAGGCTGAGACTGATGAAGTGGACGTCCTGGACAGTTTTTTGGACCAATGGAGGGAATTGTAGCGGATGATGGCGGATGATGTGTTCAGGCACTTGGCGCCCCATAGACAGGCATATACACTGTCTATGAGAAGACCTCAGGTACAGCGCCGCGTCGTCCCCTTTGCCACGCTCCCGAGCGCCGTCCTCGCACTTGCCGCAGCACCGCGGTGCAGCGCCGGCGCTGCCGTCGCGGCCGTGGCAGCGGCGCGCGCGGATGGCCTGGTGTCGGTGCTCAGCACCGACGGTGCGCTGCTGGCGGAGCTGAAGGTCTCTGAGTTGGACTCTTGGCATGTTGGGCAACCCTTTGGCCTCTCAGAATCCGACTGGGATTCCGAGACATGATCTCAAAAGATCTCAAAAGGATGTGCAAATTTAGGATTCATCAAGGTCACTCTTCTACGATCTTCTATGTGTAAGGGGTTTATCCAGGAGATGTCGAGGTGCTTAAGGTACGTAGTCTATTCTTTGGATTGCCTGGTTTTGGCCCAAGTTTCTCCGGGACTGCGACAATAATTGGATTCCTAATCCTAATCCGTTTGGAACGTGCCCAAGAAATGATTGCTGCTGGATTTTCCCGTTTTGTGCTCGACCAGACCACCTTGGGTTTACTGCCACTTACTGCCATGGCCATAATTATCTGCAGGGTTCAGAACGGAGTGATTCTCCCCCTTTTGCGTTCTAACATGTTCTAACGTGATGCCCCTGAGCTGACTCAGGAATTGGAGAACCTCTCCTGGTCAGTCAGCAGGGCAGAGACCTTGACAGGAGCAGACTTTGAGGGAGCCAAAGAAGTTTCAATGTTTTGGATGTTTTGGGGCCATGAAGAAGGCATTTTTTTGGGGGGGAAGGATTCCAACTGCAAATTGAACCGCTCAGCTGGAGCGGGCGACCTTGAACAACTTGAATCCTTGCTTCTGTGACCTCTCTTGAGAAGTCAACGACTCATTAGGCCCCATTCTTGCACAAAGTGGGCTTGGATCTGAGGGGAAGGCGTTCATTTGGGATACCATGCTACGCCGTTCTCTTTCCGGTCTCTTTCGGTTTTGGGTATCCTCGTTCAGGACTAGGTACTTCTTCCTTGCGCCCGCTGGTTTCCTCGCTGGTGCTTCTGGAAGAGGTGCTGGTCGGGGCAGCCCAGAATGAGGAACTGGACCAAAGTGTCAGGCCAGCTGGTTGTTCTTTTTGGACTTTGACATTTACGGATGAAATCATGGGGGGATTTTCACCTGTTGGAGATAATGCACGTATAGTATAGACAGTATAGACATAGGAGGTGACACAGGATTGGTACAAGTGATGACAAACGCCAAAAAATGCTTCGCTCTTTGGGAGAAGGTCAACCGGATCCAGTTCTCAGCACTCCGAGGTGTGTGCTGTGAACTTGGGCACAGCTGGCACCGACTCCGCAGGCAGAGCGGAAGCGGCCAGCGGTGTGAAGGGTTCGGGTAATGTTAAATGGCTTCAGGCAGAGTAGGAGTCAGTCGGGAGTTTGTGATTTGCACAATCTCACAAATGTCTCAAATGTGTTTCTGTGATCCAAGAAAAGCTCAGGTAAAACCAGTTTATGCTTAAGGGGGTTGAGCCATTTACTTGATGAAGCATGGGTGGACCTTTGTAACGTAGCGACTCCAGCAGATCCAGATCATGAACTTCGTACAGGAAGCCTCCAAGACCTCAAAAGGCTCTGAAAGAGACAAGCTTAATGAGGAAGGACGTATGCGCCCCCAAAAGGAATGTTGTTGGGAAGGGGACGCTTTGGCCCGCACCAAGGGCTCCTTAACAGTTGACGATGAGACCTCCGCCAGTTCACTTCCGTTTGCCCAGCTTGCGCCCTGACGGCGTGGCATTTGCCCAGCTGCACCCCGTTGCCGGGAGCCACGGTTTTTGGAGGTCGAGAGATTGGCTCTCCTTGGAGATCTTGGAGATTGGGCGGTTCTGTTGGTTTGGAGGGGTCCTATACAGCATTTGTTGTTTATGATGTAGCTGGTTGAACTGTTTTGAAGGCGAATTTGATTTCAGTGATTTCCCGTCATGCTCAATGAACTATATAGCCGGACTAGCAGAAAATGTTCACTTCTGCCGTTTGCCTGCATGTTTATACAATTGCACGCGTTCTCACGTGGATAGGCGAGTTGTGACCCAATTCAGCTAGTGCGCCAAGCGCAAACGAAGCCTCGGAGACGTGTGCTACCTGGCATAGCTGGTGCAACTGAACACGCGCACCCAGCCTTTGGATAAGTAGCTTCAGCTTCAATGCTTGACATCAACTCCCATAGGAACACACGTTGCGCAACATCTTTGTGCAACTTCCATCTCGCCTTCTGAGTGAGTGGAGAGCCGTGTGTGGATTGGATCCATCGCTGATCACCGAAGAGAAGCAGATCGGTCGGAAGAGAAGCACCTCGACTCGCGCTGCTTCTTCCATCTCTTAAACCCGGGGTCTCCTGGCCTCCAAAACCAAGGTCACCCAGGTTCTAGGTTCATATCTGAGTCCAGTAGAGGTCACCCCACTCCAGAACTCGAGGCCACATCCCTGGCATCTCGCAGGGCCCTTGGAGGCGAAATGGGGTCGCTCAGATGGGCTGTGATCCTGCCGAAGCCTTGAAGAGGAATACTCCAAAGACCCCGAGACCGCCACTGCCAGTGGTCGGCTTTTGGTGACGTTTTCACTGACCTTCGACTCGGGATGAAGCATGCCATTCAGTTGTCAAGGCGGAAAAGAATAAGAATCCATCACCACTGAAAGGTCATCGGTCATATCATGTTCACGTATGCAACACGTTTGTCACACCGGCTGCGTGGGTGTTTGATGTTGTTCCTTCCTCTTCATCAAGGAAACCACGTCAGTCATGGGCGGGGGGGAATTCAGAAAGCCCCCTTGCCGCAGCTGGACGACACAGACAGTTTTGTAGGCAGAGAATTCAGCACCTGAAACTCTTTGGGACCGAAGGAAGCGAAGGGCCGACGCCGACGCCTACCACTCAACCACCCCCAATCCCAATCTTTCCAAAGGTGTGCGACGCCTACGCCTAATGTAGACTCTTGATGAATTACCCCCCTGTTTTGAATTGAACATCCATGAACATCCTCTTCATGTGGGTGTATTAATCAAGAGTCTACATTACTCCTGATCAGGACCTCCACAGTTCGCTGTGGCGGGCACGCAGCATGGGTAGAAGCCCACCGTTCTCGCACGGACTCCAGGCATCTCCCAGCACCCGCAGCGTGGCCACCGCGCCGGTGTTGTTGCCCGGGACGGCTCGGGGTGCCCAGAGGTGCACGGTATGTGCAGATCTGGTGAACGGGTGGTGAACGGGTGATGAGCTCATTGCAAGTGGTGTAGGGGAGAGCGGGTCAAACAAGCGATGAGTAGTTCCCCGTGTCTCCTGGGTGACATGTACTTGTTTTATGAAGGTTTAACACCCAGAAAGACGGTTTAACACCCAGAAAGACGGGAAAAGAACAAGTAGATTGGGGTGCAGTGTATTGGGTTCTTGCCATGATGTGCTGCACAATGCTTTACAGAAGAACATGACGAGCTGGTGGGTGTGCTTCTGGGGCAGCTGACATCATGAATTCAATCACCTGAGAATTCTGAGGCTGACAGGATACTGAGGATGCAGAGTCGAGCACGTGGCTCCAGCCATTGGCCACGGTGGGCTCCTGGTATTCCTGAGTTGTTTGCTTTCTTTTCTGCATTGCGGCCGATTCCACAGAAGCTGTATAGATGAAACTCCATAAAACGGAAAAAGCAAATCATGGTCTTCGGGTTTGGAGGCGCGACCTTTCCACATCAGCCATTGGTAGTATAGTGGTTAGAAAAGTGGCGAGATGATGCTCGAACATGGAACAGTGACTACAAACAATAGGTGTATGTGTATGTGTGATTTTGTTTATTATATGCAACTTAGATCCACTGCTTAACATGAGCTGTGGCTTGGACAGATTCGCAAGTCGCGCAGAAAGGCAACTTAGATTTAGATAGACGTGTCTGAGAGATTTGAGGAATGTCCTTAACTTTGTGTTTATAGACCTGTTGCCTTTCTCACCGGCGCCCGGTGCACCTTCCCCATGCGCCATCGAATGGCCACTTCGCTGCTCTACGGCGCAGCGGTGTACCACGCGCTGGGTGAAGAGGCACTGGCCATTGTGTGGGGCATGATCGAAATCTGCGTTTTCTTTTTTTTTGGTGCTTTTGTTCTCAGCCCAATCCGATTAGTCCCCGTACCTCCTGAAGATGTTTTACTTCTTCCTGGACAGCATCATAGGTCTCAATATCTAGAAAAGGCAGATGGTCTGACTGTCCAGAGATCTGTTGTTTTCGTTGACTGGCTGCACCACGCCTTTTCACCCGTGCATAGATGCCCTGAAGGTGGTTGGTAGCAGTGGCACTTGGACCATCTTGGCCGTTGGAGACTCTTTGACGGCGGGTGGTTTTGGCAGTGTGCCTTATGGTGCCTTCCTCTCTGAGATCCTAGGCGTCAAGGCAGCAATGCCAGGGTCGTGGCGGAGGAGTGGGGCGGATGGAGGCGGATGGCTCTGTTTCAACATCCATATAGGCTATACTTAAGTTCAAGACGTGTGAAGATGTTTCTTTGTGGATGGAGGTTCATGCATGCATACAGAAGAGAACTGCTTTTGAAAGCCCAAGCAAGTCGGTGGGGCTTGAGAATCCTGCTGAGCAGGTCTTTGCAGGTTTTGTAGGGCCTTTACAGTTTCTTTTTTTGTGGCCTATTGCTTGATGGCTTCCATGTTCCTTGTTGCTCAGAGTCTATTTCATTGTACATTCACACTACCTTCCGATACTCAGCCCTGGGCCTAGGGGCAGCTCTGTCAGCAAGCGAGTAACCGGTCTGCCTTGGTAGGTGGAGATCACGGGCATTTGGGGCGAGCAAACGAGGCGCCATTGTCATCAACAACAGCTTCCGGGCAAGGGTGGGGGGAGATCACATAGACTTGTTCGTTCAGTTTGGACGGATGCTTTCATCGGTCCAGTCTGACTCGGTATCAAAAGCTTCGTGAAGACCAATCGGACACCTATCAGAGGAGTAGCAAGAGTGAGATGGCAGCAGAGCTAAAAGCCGACACATTGCAGGTCTATGCTGCAACGTTTGCAATCAGGCCGGAGCATTTCTTGTTCCTGTGTTAATCTTGTGGTTGGGCAGTTCTTGAAACATATAGAGAACACATTTAAAAATAGTTAAAAGTATCGGTTAGTGGTTCAAGAAACCTAGCTGTGACACAACACTGAAGTAAAGCAACATAGCATATAGTGACGGACTCGTACTTAGAACCTCGTGTTTAGACAACTGTATAAACATGTGCCTGGCTTTTGGATTCTAAGTTCTAAGTAATGCACTTAGAACCACTATATAAGGCTGGCAGTTTTGGATCGGGTTCACATTAGTTTACCTTGGAACCTTCACCCCCGTTGTTCCATCACCCCCAATTGCTTCCATGTGTTTGTTTTTCTCACCATGGGTTTGCCCAGGAGGTCTGTTGAAGCTCTTAGACACTGCCACGTGACCAACCCGGGAGGCCATCCAGCTTGGTTCCCTGATCCCCCTCGAGTGGTCTTGGTGTTGGGAGGGACCAACGACCTCCGTTCAGTGCTGCACTTAGGCTTAGCCGTGAGTCATGGGCGGACATGGCGCGGGGCACAGGGTGGATTAATTGATGAGTCAAGTTGATGAAACCCAAATTCCAGAAATCAATGAACTCATGGTCCTATAAACAGCAATCTGCAACTTACCAGGTGGAGTTGCAGGGTAGGTATAAGGCCCACTTGCAACTGGTGCAGCCGGGCATGGTTGAAGGCACCACACCAAGTCCGGCATCATACATATTCATAAAATCATTGGAATAGTTCCATTTATTCACCCTTACCTGGAGTTTGGAATCACAGCCGCTTGCCCTTCCATTGGCATTGGTGGTGTTGGGTACCGAGGTACCCCTTGAGGTGACCGTGGCCAATTTGAAGGCCGGACGGTGGAACGGACATGATGCAGTTCATGCGGGGGACGGTGGATCAGAACTCACCAGTTGTTGGCACGTGGCACAAAGGAAATATGGGTTTTGGGCAAAGCAAGGGCACTGGCTGGTAAGATTTCAGATGGAATCCAGTGAAACATTATTGTGTGGAAGGTGGGGCAAAACTTAGTTAGGCGTTCCTTTTGTGTAAGGGACGAGGTTATGTGGTCACTCAGCTCTTTTGACATCGATTATTCCACCAACACTTTTTGGAGAACGCACGCTGCTGGATCCGTCGTCGCTGGTCGTCGTAGCAGGCCATGCATGAGCTGGCCGCGCAAACCTCCTTGGTGGGGGTCTTGGCGTTGCCGAAGTTCTTGAATCCGCAGGTGAGGACCGATGACACCACCAAGTCCAAGTGGCGATTTGGCTTAATCCAACGAAAAGCTGAACCTGTTTCATCCTCCTTCTCTCATATTTCCAAAGGTTTCGATGCTGTCATTCCTGTTCTTCATCACTGTGTTGTTTGATTGTTTGATCCAGTGACAAAACAGAAACGCGTGATTAGAATCGCACAAATTGCATTGTGACCCACCTTACCGCCACATTTGTCCCTTTTCATCCTTACAACATGTCGTTTCTTGGTTTCTTTTTGTGTCTTGAGTTATGACATGAACACGTCGATGGCCCCTGTTGGCGGTCCCTCCGGAACAGGTTGGAAGCCATCAGAAACGAGAATCGCTGAATTTGCGGCTTGCTGAGCTGGTTGAGAGCTACAGCCGCTTGGTGTGGTTCTCGCCGCCGATGCTTGCGACCGAAACACGGTCGAAGATGGTTGACAGGGCTGAAGGAGCTGACAAAGCCAGAGAAACGGACACCAATGCGGCTATTTGTAAAGGAGAGCAGCTGAATGAAGGTCCATGTCTCTACAGAGCACAATATGTTTGACGTGAACATTGGCTGCACATCTGAGGTGTCAAAGAAGTGACCTGTTGTGAGTTGTTTCGAACATGGTATGAAAAGTATGAAGACATGACACTTGCACGCTGGCAATGACGGGGGTGATTGTCATGTTTGTTTACTTGACCCGGGTCCAGCATTTTATGGGCAGCAGCGCAGTGGGCAAAGACCTTTGAACCAGCACTGCGTGTTATATTTTATTTGTGCACACGGCCAAAATTACACAGAAAAACTCTATCCACAGCGTTCTGAACATACTTCAACACCGGGCCCTCAGAAATGATCCAAATTAATGACTGGCACCCATCGAAGACTTCCCGCGTTCTGGCCTTTTGCACCCTATAATCTTGCCAGGTTTTGGCTGGGGGTCAAAACCGGAGCAGCTTGGCTGACCTACCCGGAAGGTCTTTCGCTACGTGAACGAGCACTCCAGGTTTTGACCCACCCCCATGTCTTCATCCGGCATTCACATCAGCAAGCCTGCGCTGTTCCAAGCGTGGAAAGGCTTCCCATCCTTCTTCGTGAATCTCAGTGCTGTTCCAAGCTCGCAGCTGGGTGTTTAATGAGTTGGGACCGGGGCGGCGGTTTTTATTATGCCCTGCTCCAGTGGACATCCATGATGCAGAACACGCTTGCTGGGTCGGTTTTCAACTCTCATTTGAGCTTTTCCGGCTGTGCAGCGTTTGGGTTTGACAGTTCCCAGGTGATGCACCACGAATAGTATGGTACGCTGTGTGTATTTGTTATATATATATATATATGTTTTTCCGGTGTTGGCCCAAGCTGACCCAGCTTGCAATGACACAATGACGAGAATGCTTGGTGGGGGGAGCACTCCCCCAAGACAGCTGCTCCCAAGTCAAGAGCTTCTCATGATCTCACCATTGGTCCGCATTGAACTTCCCACCCCCCCTTCTGGCTCCCGCCTTGGTTGGAGCACTGAAGAGGTATCTCTACGATGGGCTTCACTTCACCTCAGAGGGCTACTTGGAGTTTGCTCGCCTCGTCGCCACTGAACTGACCCGTCTACTACCCTGGCCCCCTGCGAGAGTGGACGGGTGAGCGCGTGCAAGAAGTAGCAGGAGATAGCAGGAGAGGGTGGTGCAAGTGGGTAGCATGTCAGGCAGACCATTGACTAGTAACAAAGCACATGGCAAATGAACCTCCCTCCGTGCTCTTTCTCCCTCTCTCTCTATTCTCTATTGATATAGGTTTATGATGTGTGTGCAAACACTCAATAACACTTAATGCTGATATTAATTACTTATTGTCTATGGCTACTTCAGCTGAAACGGATCATCCAGGAATCCAGGGTCCGCTGTGTAAGTAGTGCCACCTGCTCTATGTAAAGGAGTTTGGGAAGCTTGAGGTGGGCAGGTTCTTGAGGAAGATGGAGCACATGAGTCCCCCATCCTGTTGAAGTCACCACACCCTTCAGTCAGGACGCCCTGACTGCAACTGCAGGGCATGGCAGAATCCAGACCCCAAGGCACAGGGGAGGAGTTAGACCCGGTGCCAGCTCTACTATCTCGCACAGCAGGCTTATGGTCATGTCCTTGATGCGAGCGACCCACACCCATGCAGTTGGTTCCTGGCATCGGGGACATGTTTCGCACTGTGGTCAATCTTCACAAGAAGTATATGTGAAGGCCATATCATTTGCAGGGCATTTGGTGCCAGATCTTCGACCAAAGCCTGGCCGTACCTGCAGACGGGGCCAGAACCTCCTCGACTTTCCGGGCCATGGAGGTGAATCTAAGGTTTGACATGGTTTGACAACATTCAAGTGTCCTCACTGGGCTTCCTCGATCTGCCGTCACTGGAGCCGGGATCAGTTCAAGATTTGGATGCCCCAGGCCCCGCAACACCTGGGTATCGCTGGACGTGGGGGGATTGAAGGCCCCTGGTGAAGTCCGCTCGTTGATTCTTATGTAACTTATGAGTGTTAATGGTATAGAATGAAGCCACGTCAGGAAACAAAAAACACATGCAAACCGTTAAATGCCCATTCTTATGTCAAGCAACATGTGACCGTGGGTCACAACTGTGTCACACAGTTCCTGATCACAACACTTTGTGGTTTCACAAATTCCAACAAAGACAATTCATATCTACATATATAAAGTAGACTCTTGATTAATAATCCCTCCCATTTGAATTGGACATGCTCTTCATACGGGGGGTTTATCAATCAAGAGTCTACATTACTATCTCAAAAAGCATGTGATGATTGATTGTGGAAGTGGATCGCATGGCCCCTCAGAAGCCACCCAAACCACTAGCCGCAAGGTCCCGTTCGAGCCATTTGGCGTCGACCAGGCGCAGTCGCCGAAAGGATTCCCGACCTGGATGCTATGCTGGATGGAGCATGGGGTTCCCGACGACGGAGCATGGGAATGAGAAAAGGAAGGAAACGGCTGAAGCTTTGGCTCGGAGATGCCGCCGTCCAAAGCAAGGGCTTCAACAGCTTGGCAAGATGTGGCAAGAGTTTCGACGAATAGATACCATTGGCGGAAATGCATTTGCAGTGGTCTTTGAGTAGATGGCAAAATCTGATAGATTGGCTGTATAGTGATTCCTTTGACCCACGTGGGAGTTCCGGCTTAGTTAAGATTTGCCTATCCACAGCAAGTTGGAAGGAACTATCATATTCGTTGCGCATGTATGAGGGGTTGAACTGTTTCTCAGATGTGCTGTGTCACTCGCCTGCAGTCTGGAGTGCAGCCCCTCCGCCAAGGGGCGTCACGCATGGCAGTAAAAAGAACTTCCTTCTCGAACTTCAAGATGTGTGACATCCACTTCTCGCGATAGAACACCTTTTTTTCCGTTAGTTATACTATATATGCCCACTATATGCCCATAATGGTTTCCAGAAGATCCTTGCAGATTGCAATCCGTTTCAGGGATCCACGATCAGCAGAGGACCCAACAATGACCTGAGTCTTCGTGTGCTGGATGCGCTTTGCTTGACCAGTCGCCTCTTCGACCAGTCGACCCAGGTGAGTTTCATGGCGGCGGACCCTGCCCTGAGGTGCGGACATGGAAGTGGAGTTCACCACGTGTAGAGTGAGAGGAAGAGGGGAAAAACCATGATTTTCCCAACGGCCATTGTCCAGTTCCATGGTAGTCAGTGGGAGTGTGACTCACTTTTCAGTGGAGTGAAGTGCAGATGGCCGGATGTACAACCTTCATTGGAGCACGGAGACGATGATTTGTGCTGAGGGTGATCCTGGGTGGCAGTTGGCCATTGGAAGGCTACAGAAAGGCCACAGGAAATATGCACCAAACTCTTTGCTCATGATCAGATATACCCTAAATCCAATCAGAGGCACAAATCCTGACTCACCAGAGGCTAGTATATGTAACATATGTGTGTTTCATGAAATTCATGGTGCTGTGCCCACGACAAACGGTGCTATTCTACTGCCCTGTGCAGTCAGCAAGTTTCTGACACCCTGGGCACGAAAATCAGCGCTGACCTTTCATTGGACGAAAAGCAGATGCGAACATCACAACGGCCAAACCACTGGTGACCTTTCCATCAAGAGCCTGCCGGCCTACCGAAACTGCATTTGCTGGCTCAAAGCCGACACGCGGCGGGGCCACGGTCGCCGCTGGTTGCGGGTGGCGGGAATTGATGTCCGCTCCGGACCAGCTGCAAGATGAGGTGTGCAGGGGGAGATGAGTTACATCAGATGTCTGCCGGCCTTGGCAGAAGTTCTTATGGGTTCACTGGTCCAGTGTTTCGTCATCCTCATTGTGTGGGGTTTAACATCAAGTTTGACAGATGTTCACAGCTCGCAGTATCACCAGAGGTCGGGGGTCGAATTGGTGGGTATCTTCACCTGCCAGCTTGCAGGGTGCTTGGAGCATTCTGAGTCATCACATGCACCAGAAAGAGCATCATCCAAGAATTCAGAGGAACATGCCTATTTGCTGAGCTGTTGGAGCAGTCCATGCATCCCCTTTGTGCATCCCAAACGAACAATCTCACGAGGTGACACTGGATACGGGTTAATGATTGCCATGCCTTTTCCCGGTCCTGCCAGGTATGGCAGGACAGAGAGCCGCTCATCAGCACTGGGAACCAAGAGCTTGACCAACCCAGTTGATCCAAACATCACAAAACACTTCCCCACGTATGTTTTGAACCCCTTGCATGTTTCAGAAGGCTCCTCCCACCCCCTCCGCCAAAATGGTGTTGGCGGTTAAATGGTCGCCTGTTCCACCCAGTGTCGAACTACTATTTACACTTGTTTCTTCATGGATTTGCACATCTTTGCACCCGGTCCGTTGGACTTCGCTGCCTTCGAGGATCAAATTTGATCAAATGCCTCAGCTTCTGAAGCTCCGAAAAGGTGAGTTCCAGCCCCTCGGAGCGGAAGCGGGAGCCACCGGCAGCCCGGCAGCGCCCGGCTCGGACCGCGGGAAACCGGTGAAACCGGAGGAAGATCTGCCTAGGATAGGGTATCAGAGGGATTCATAGGGTATCATAGGGTGTTTGAGAGTGTTGAACGGCGTTTGGGTTTTGGGTGTTTTTGGTGTGTTCATTCTGGACTTGTGGATCTTGATGATCTTGGAGCTTGATGTTGGAGGCTAACCGGGTGATATGGATGGTGACCCTTTCCTCGCTTTTCGAGAAGGTGGATGCTTTGGCGGTTTGGGAAGTGTATGGCTGGAGCAGGGCCACCGTATACCGTCAAACCGCCCATTCGCATTCCGCAAGTGGAGCAAAGCTGCGCCGCTACACCGAAGCTGAGGATCGACTCCATTAATTCGGTGGAGGACGCGCTTTCTTCGAGAGATCGGTGACAGCAGGTTAAAACCAACAAATGTTTGCGTGAATGCGTCCAATGACTTTCTTTGATTGGTGGAACGCCTGTATTGTTCCCAGTAGGTCAAGCTGATACTTGCTTTAATGTGAGTTCTTTAGACAAAAGAAAGCTGCTATAATACGCGCTGTGTTGCATATATGGGCGGCCACAGTGGCGGGCACTTCTGTGTGTGGGTGTGTTGGGGAGTGGTTTTGTGGTGTGGTGCTTTCGTGCCACTGGTGCTGGCGGCACGCCAGGATACCAAAGGCAACAATGGCGAGAGGGGGATCCTCATCGTCACCAACTTAAGGCTGACCCCCTGCAGAATGTGCAGATGTTTTATCTGAAGTGGATATCAGTTGCCAGTATATCGGGAATGGCTGGACAAATGTCGCTTGGCAGTTTGTCGCTTGGTACAGTCATACGTCAGTGGATGATAACTGGGATTTTGTCAGCGTTGATGTTTGGGACATACTGCAATGTCGTTTTGCTCAATTGGGAGTTGAATAAGTGTGAGACAGTCAATGTACACATCCTTTTTTCCAGAGTCCTTCATTGCAACTTGAGAGGTGGAACATCCATTTCGGATCACCCCATTTTCTTGGCCAAACCCGGTGGCCGCTGTTGCTTTGCTGTCAGGCTGATTTGGACTTCTGCCAAGTATGCACGGACGAATTTGAGATCCTTGGCCGAGCAATGGGATGGCCAACCTGTCGGCGTTCGAGGCTTCGGAGCTCTCCCGGGTGTCACCCGCCTTTGGGAGGCAAGCTTGTGCAATCGTGACCTCCACATGGATACAAGAATATCTGTGATATAGAGCTTGCAAGAAACTCGAAACGGCGCAAAACAGCCATTGAACATCATTGAACACATTTACCAACAAGAACTCCGAAAAGTCGGTGTTGTGGTCCCACCTTTTTAGACCCTGCACCACCTCCGCCCGCTCCATGCCTGCTCCAACGTGGTCCATACGTCGTGACTCCTCCTCCTCGCCACGTCCGGTGTCCGAGGTATTGGATTCAATTGCGTGTCCAGCGTGAACATCCGGTCGGCCGCTTGGCTCAATCGACTGGGATCGATCCGGATCGCTGCGGAGTCACGGTGGGGCGGCGGCGGAAATGGTGGCCTTGGTGGAGTCGATGCTTGTGTGAGTCGAAACTGCTCCTAAAGCAAAGCCGGGAAGCTTGAACTCCCTTATGTATCTTATGTAGATCAATCTGTTCATGTTCGGTTCTCCACGGAACCCTGGGGTTTTAACCTGGAACCACCTTATATGTGTATATATATATAGACCGTCAGCGACCGCCCATCATGTGGTTGAATCTTGAAACGGGTGAACTGCAGAAGGCTTGACCTGGAGGGACAGGAGTGTAGGGCCCGGGGTCTTTGTAGTTCACAAAGGCTCCTCCATCATTTGGCACGCATCAGGTGACCTCAAAGCTCCGGGGGAATAGCCAGGCCTTGTACGTTTGGAGCCTCAGGATGCCTCTCCGCGGAGAGCTGCCAGTGGCGTTTTGCCAGGTGGGATTTTGGAAGAGAGTGGAACATAGTGGAACTATATTAAATTAATATTAATATCCCTAGGGCTCCAAGGACCTTCTCAGAAGGTATTTGGACCCTCTAAACCCACCCCAAACACCGGCTGAGAAGGTATTTGGAGCCCTAGGCTATATATATGTATATAGTTTTTTTTTTCATAGGATACATGATGATACATGTTTCATCCAACATTAAGTGGAACGTTATAATATGGAGTTTGTGAGTCTTGTAGTGATGACCGGGTGAATTGCGTGGAACATATAACCATCTTTACAATTCCTAGATCCACTCATTTGGGTCTTGCTGGGTTGATTTTTTGGAGGCGTTCGGTGAGGGGCTGCTCACAGGACCTACGCAGAATTTGGGGAGTGTAGAGTGAAGGGTCGGCATGTGCTAGCGTTTGGCCTTTCACTTGACCTGAGATTGCTACGCGTTGCTAAGGTCATGACGCGCTTCAACTCCACGCGCTTTGAGTTTATTTTCACCTCCTTAGCAGCTCGGCAGCCTCATGGAAGTGAGTGGTCGCGCTGATGCTGAATTCTTTAGACAGATCACGTCGTTCGTATCCAGTAGCTTCGCCTTCAGAAGCAACAAAAGCATTGACAGATGCCCTTCCACTTCTAGGGAAGATCGTCCTATAGACCTTTAATCCCTCCTTCTCGTTCGGCAGAATCCATCCACCGTTAACGTTGGTTTGATGATCACAATGGATCACAAGACCTGGCAGGTCAAACATAGCCCCAGATTGTTCACCACGGTCCAGGCGCAGCCGAGTTGGACGACAGCAGATGTGCGGCATGTAGTGCAGGGAACCTCCCTCATGTTTGAATCACCTGCGCGGGGATTGGCAAGGTTGTAACGGTAAGAGGGAACAGAAAGGTTTTGCAAGTGGAATCTTCTTTCTGGTGAATTGGGTCCCGTATTGAACTAGGGAGACCTCCCAAACTCCTGCAAGCAGGAACGAGCAGGAACATATATAGACCAAACACCCAATATTGGTTGGGAGTCCTATTAAATTTTAAATTGCACACCCAATTGATCCCATTTGATGTTATTCGCTTAAACGTGTTGGCATGTCAAGTGGTCAGCATCGATCGATGTGCTTGAAGTTGTTTTTGCTGATGCTATAAAAGTCTCTTTGTGCTGGTCTCTCACGACGTTCCTAGTTGAAGCACCCTCCGATCACAAAGGTCGCACACTCATGTGAGCACTCCGAGTCACGCTGCTCCATGATTGCTACAGCCTGGGAGGCGGTCTTCAAGAGCTATGAAACCACAAAGCTCTACAGAGTTCCTTGGCCATGAATGTAACTTGCAATTGGGTGTCAGCAACGCACAGCACCGAAAAACTACATTGGAAACCTTCCACGATATTTGTGGCGTGTGTGCAAGGTGTAGAGACACTTTGCGCCACCTCATGCCTGCGGTTTTGTTGCTTTCAGGATCTGAAGCTCCGTGGTGCCATCATTCGGGATAAGGAGTGGGTGGACTGAGCCGGAGACAGCTCAAAATGAACATTTTTTGTGGTGAACATCACTAGAAAGTGGATTCTCATCAGTTACGTCACCACGCTTTGAATGGAACATCCTTACGTCCATCAACACACACACACATAGACACGACAATGTATAGACCCTTGGTGGAGAAAAGAAGTTCGGTTAAACTGTTTCGATGAGAGG